TCAACACCAATTTGGTATCAATTTTAGGGTTAGGGCATTCCATTTGGTGGAATTTTGAGACATAGCCAATTTGGGGAAAATTTAAAGATTTTTGGACTTGGGTTAAAATTGAGTGAAATTGAGGCTTGATGAAGCACAAGTGAAGGTCAAATTTGATGTGTATGGGTGTTATGAAGAGTTTATAATTGAAATTAGGGCAAATTAAGTAGGTTATGGGGTTAAATTTTGTGGGATTGAGTCATATGGCTAAAATTGGGGTTTTTGATTTGGATAAAAATTGAGCTCAAAGTATGGGCCAATTATGCTTGGGTTTGGTTTGGATTGATCAAATGAAGGATGAATTTGTGCTTAGGATTCAAATTGAGGGGAATTAGGGCCAAATTATTGGAAATTTACGGTGAATTTAGGGAAATTCGGCTTTTAAAGGCAATTTGGGGGTTTTATTCAAAATGGTCAAATTGGCCAAATTATGACAAATTTGGGTATTGTGGGTGAATTTTAAGATTTTGACCAAATTTAGGGTTTCAAGGGTATTTAGATAATTTAGATGAATTTATGGGCAAAAAGCCAAATTGACCATTTTGGTAGAATTGGGGTACCAACCACCCCATATGAGCTATAGACCAATGATATCCCCATTTGGGTCCTCTATCTAGTGGTATAAGCTAAATCCTAGCCTAGGGCTAGTCGGTCTATGGGACCAACTACATGAGTTTCCCAAAAGATCAAGGGATCAAAGTAAACAATTTTGGGTTTAGGATTGTCAGTGATTATGGGTGATAGTGAGTGTAGTATGTGAACTAGCTCCACACCAACACCCAGAGTCAACCCTAAGCTTAAGCAGTCATATGGGGACCATGAATTTGGAAGATCCTTAATAAAAATGCATCAAGATTTGTAATGATAAATCAAGTGGATTCTGTGGAACTTCAAGTTGAGTAAAGAGAAGAGTTTTGAGTTTCTAATGGTGAGGGTACAGGGTTCCTTTTCGAGGGTTCCTTTTCTAGTTTCTAGGAATAGTCAATACGAAAGTCCTATGGCTAGACCTTAGGCTACTAAAGAGGGAAAACAAAACCTCAACCAAAAGTGAGGTCAAAAATTGGATCACCAATAGGTCTGGTGTGCTAGGAAATATTAGCTTTGGTCGACGAGATTAACAAAACCAATACAGACTCCTAAGTCAACAGACATAGCAGGTGTAGAATTTGAGTGTTAGGTGTTCCTATTGAGGAATTAGCAAGTGCATATCTTACCAAAATCAACGAGTAGGAACTCTCACTAGGGACTGGAGAGTAGATTTCAAATAATCAAGTTTCAGGTGTCTATTAAGGATGGGAATCAGTATTTATGTGCTGACCCTAAGATAGGAATTAAAATTTAGGTATCAATTCCAAAAAGAGAGTCAGAATTTAGGTAAAAGAGAGTCAGAAAGAGAGTCAGAATTTAGGTACCGACCTCAAAGATTGAGAGTAGGATGTCGTGGTCCATTAAAGTGGGTCTTTACCTATCTCAAAGAGGTGTGTAGAAAATTGAATGACATGGTATCATTCAAGGGGGTCTTATACCTATCTCAAAGAGGTGTGTAAAGAATTAGATGTCATGGTCCCATAAAAGGGGGTCTTATACCAATCTCAATAGGTTGATAATAGAATATTGTGTTCCATTCAATGGAGTCTTACACCTACCACGAATATGTGTGTAGAGAATTGGATGTCATGGTCCCATTCAAAGGGGTCTTACACCAATCTCAAAAGGTTGAGAATAGGATGCAATGTTCCATTTAGAGGAGTCTTACTCTTATATCAAAGATGTGTGTAGAGAATTGGATGTCGTGGTCCCATTAAAGGAGGTCTTACACCAATCTTAAAAGGTTGAGAAGAAATCTTACTCCTATCTCGATGATGTGTGCTTATGCCAATTTCGAAAGGTTGAGAATAGGATGTGATGTTCCATTCAGGAGTGACTTACACCTATCTCGAAGATGTGTGTAGAGAACTGGATGTCGTGGTCCCAATAAAAGGGGTCTTACACCAATCTCAAAAGGTTGAGAATAGGATGAAATGTTCTATTCACGGGAGTCTTACTCCTATCTTGAAGATGTGTGTAGAGAATTGGATGTTGTAGATCCATTAAAGGGGGTCTTATGCCAATCTCGAAAGGTTGAGAATAGGATGCAATGTTCCAGTCAAGGGAGTCTTACTCCTATCTCAAAGATGTGTGTAGAGAATTGGATGTCATGTTCCCATTCAAGGGGGTCTTACACCAATCTCAAAAGGTTGAATCACATTAGGAAGGAAGGCTCTGTGGCCCAAATCCAACCCAAAGGGATAGTGGGAAGAGAGTTGGCATCTCAGAATTAGCTCCAAAAATGATATGAATATAGTGTCAAAAGTTTCTGGTGTTGAGTCCATAGATATGTATCATGTGAAGATAGGTATTGATGAGAAAGATTTGTTAAATCTTGTGAAATTTTACGTAGAATGTGAAATTCTTTGGAGATTGTGAAGAGAATTAGTGCAGACAAGGACAGTCGGCGAAAAAATAGTAAGAGATCTCAAAATCGAGAGAATCAACTCAACATATTTATTTTCTTTTCTTGTTATTATATCATATTTAATTATCAGAATACATTTTTTAAAATCAAAATTTTTCTTGTTGGATTGTTTTTTTTTTCAAAAGAGAATTTTTTTATTATCAAGTTTCATTTTATTGTTTTGTTCCTCGTTCATTGTAGTTCATAACCAACGTATGGTTCTATGGCTCTTTATTCATCGCATAGAAGGGCAATTGAACAAACAGATAAAAAATTCTGAAAGAGATTTCAATAATCTGCTTCAAATAGGTGTTACAGATTGAACATTGGCTGAAGCATTAAAAGTACATCTAAAAACATCTCATGTTGGGTACATATCACAAGCTGAGCATATCTAGTACTTATGTCATCATATCTACTGTGTCAAAATGCAGTACAAAAAGGTGTCTCCTGAGTGTCCATCTCTAGTGGAGTGAGCTCCTGATCGAGCTGACCTACTAAGTCATGCTTCAGGATAAGAGTTCCCTTTGCATGTGCTTAGAGGTGCAACCCTCTCGTAGCTCCTAAGGCAGTAGCTCTTTAAATTCTGGGTCCGGCCAGAATCCATGTGGCATTTTGTTGTCATCTATTCTTTGAAAAGTTACAGGCACCCTGCAGTGTCGTACCCATGGAATGGAGTGTTTGGAGATGTCTGCTCCATTTCTTGTAAGGATTAGTACTGAACCTACTAGTAGCAAAATCTCCATGGATCCTATGAACTTGTCGGGGCCAATGATGTCTATCTCTTTCTCGACCAGGATATTTCTTCTTCTCATGAAGGAGACCGTACAAAAAGGCCTCATGAAATCAATATGTGGAGGAATGCAATCACCCTCTTCGTAGATGTTGATGATACAACTGTTAGGAATACAGTCGACTGAAAGTATGCTCCAACGGATCATTCTCTTGATCATCCAATTTATCATGGGAGGTAGTCGGTTCACTTCATCAGGTTTCAAAATCCCTGAGGGATTTCCTTGTCTATCCTTGGTGAAGTTGTAACAGTAGCCACATTGAATGGTGATCCTCCCTTTTCAATGCATCAATTTTCGTGGTTCGGAATAGGTCATTTCCATCAAAAGACCCACTCAACCTATGTCCCGTAGATCAATAATACAGTCGAGAATACTTTTTTCATCGCTTTTGGAGAAGACTCTAGTGTATAGCTCCAAGCTTTTTTGTATGTTGATGAATCTTCCTTGCACTTCTTCATAAAGTTCAATTTCCCTTTTGTTTACTCTACTCATCTTATAGTATTCTGCCGTGGAGACGATCGGCGGCTGTCAAGGATGCTCCATCATTTCAGTATCCATAAGAATCCATGTTGGTTATGTCTTTGTATCTAACGAAACATATGGTTCTTCCATTAAGTGATCGGTGCTCTGAAATCCATTCCTCAGTGGATGTGTACTCCTTCAGAGTACTGTAATGCTCCAGGTGGAGGATGTTGCAGCCTGGGCATTCCATAAATGCCTCTGTAGCTAGTCTCCGTATAGGAATTTTGGTGTTGCATATCGGGCAACATGCTCAGAGATCATTTTAAACTCCCGGTATCTCCGGCTTTGTAGCGAACTCGGACTCATCCTCTTTGGTAGGCAAGCTGGAAGAGGTCTCTCTCATGTCTGGATTATAGATTCTCCCTTCAAGAATTGGGGTAAGCAAGTTTTCTGCGTCCTTCTGACGTTTTCTTTCTATGCTTAGGAAAGCCCTATGCTTTTGGTAATTGGCATTTTTGCGTTGACTTCTTTGTAGTGGTCTGTCAGGCAGTCTCTCATCATCAGCAGTGACTAAGCCTCCGATCAGCTCATTTATCATAGACGATAGACGACTAACCCCTCCATCGGATCTTGCTTTACTATCACATTTTTCCTTTTTGGTGAGGAACTTTCTGGGTGCTAATGTTTAACAGTGATGGTATACCTTCTCTTTCTCAACGGCTGACCATGTCCATCAGAGGACCATTATAGTCCATATCGACTTGACTGAAGTCCATGTCAAAGTTAATGGTGCCACCCTGTGGTGCCCTTTCTTCTTTAAGTGCTAGATTTCAACCATCTTTGAAAGCAAAGATCAGCCTTTGTCCAGACATTTTCTCTGCAAATGTTAGAAAAAACATCAGTGTACTGAAAGTTAGCAAGAACAAAAAAAAAGTGTTCATTAAGCAAAATTTTAGTTTATAACGGTGAGAAGATCATATATATATATATATATATATATTGTTTAATTTAGTAAAGTATCAAACTTGAAGTTAGAAAAGAGAAAATTGAAGTGTGAAATTTCAAAAGTTTTTGTTTTATTGAGGTTAACTTGTTACAAAATTTTTGAACCCGGTCACAGACGTTTGGCCAAATAGATAACCCAAAAAAATCAAAATTTCAAAATTTTGATTCAAATAATGTGAAGTTGCATAGTATGTCTTTAAGTTTCATCAATTGATCGGAAACATGGGTCTTTCACCCTGGAAATCTACCAGCTGGTAGGCTCCTCTTGAGTAGACTTTTTCTACGACAAATGGTCCTTCCCAAGTTGGTTCAAATTTTATAACTATCTTACGGCATGCAAGAATAGGTCTTTTGAGAACAAGAATGAAATAACAGATTTTAAATGTCCTTAGGAGGACCAATTTCTCATGGGCTTGTATCATCTTCGCCTGGTAAAGCTCCAGATGTTGCTGTGCTTCTAGCCATTTTTCTTCGAAACTTTCCAGTTCTTCAAGTCTAAGTTTTGCACATGTTTCTGTTGTAAGTTGATTGATGACGGCGATTCCAAGAGACGGCTTCTGAACCTCTAATGGTAGTACGGCCTTGGACCCATACAGAGCTTGTAGGGTGTACACTGAGTGGGAGTCCTTAACGTTGTCTGGTAGGTTCACAGAGCTTCTAGTAATTTTTTATGCCAATCTCTTTTTTTTTCGTCCAGTGTCTTCTTCAAAATCTATACTAGTGTCTTGTTGATAGCTTCGGCTATGTCATATGCTCTGGGATAGTAGATCGTAAAGTATCTTCAGTCTATCCAGTGTCGTTTAATGAAGTTATTGATTTTTGTGCACTTAAAGGCTGCCCCATTATTAGAGATTATTCTGCACGGAACTCCAAAATGATAGACGAGTTGGATTTTGAAGAACTGAAGGACGTGCTGTGTTGTAACCTCTCGTAATGACAGTACCTCTGCTTATTCAAAAAAATAATCTTTAGCAGCGAGTATAAATTTGTGTCCTTTTGAGGATGGAGAGTTATGTTTGTGCCCTAACACTCGAATGGTCACAAGGTAACGGTTGGGTGTAACACATTCATAGGTTGGTGCAAGGCCACCCCATGCACCTGAAACTGGTGACATCTTCTGGTTTTATCCATGCAGTCAAACATCATTGTTGGCCAATAATGTTTGAGTCTCTTGATCTTCATTTTCATCTTTGGCCCTTACTGGTGAGCTCCACACAATCCAGAATGCACTTCCTTGACAATATTCTAAGCTTCTGCTTTCTTAAACATCACAGCCATATCTGATCGAATGATCTTCTGTAGAGGACATCACCCACTAAGGCGTACGACATAGACCTTCTTGTAATGTGGTGTGATGCCGACTTGTCTTCTGGTAGCATTCCAGTTTGCAAATATTCTATCAATGGCTTTCGCTAATCTTCTTGGATGTCAGCAACCGCAATCATTATTTTTTTATCTTTTCCAAGCTTGTGTAGATTGTTGAGGTCAATTTGAGACAGAACCTTTCTTCCTTGTACTATAATGTCAATGGAATCCTCCGGGGGACATGCTAATTTCTTAGTAAGTTTTGCTAGAGCATTAGCATGGGCATTATCTCCCCCAGGAATCTGGTAGAAAGTAATACTGAGGATTTGTTCGAGTAGCTTCATGGTGTACCAGTTGTATTCTGCTAACCTTGGCTTCAAAATCATGTATTGTCTGACAACTTGTTGAATGGCAAGTTTTGAGTCATCATAGATGGCAATATATGTTATATCCATCGATATTGTCAATTCCAATCCGGTAATTAAAGCTTCATATTCTGCTTCATTGTTGGTACATGGCTTTTGTTAGGTTGTATGAGAACCTCAGCATGCCCTTATCTAGCGTGATGAAAATCAGCCCAATTCCTTCTTTGCTTGGTGTAACTGTGTCTGATGCTTTGTCATTTTTGGCTGACAAAGCTCCATCGAAGTATAATTCCCAGCATTGCGCACTGGAGAAATCCATCTTTAATACTTGCTCATCTAGTAACTCTTCGTTAAGAGGGGACCCAGCTGGAAGTGGGTGTGCAAGAAGAAAGTCTGCTAAAATTTATCCCTTGATAGCATGGAGGGGAATAAAAGTAATATCAAATTGCAATAAAATCATTGACCATCTTGCTAGACGTCCAGAAAGTGTTAGTCGGGTCATCAAATAATGCAACGGATTAACTTTTGAAATTAGGATAATCTTATGAGAAAGTATGTAATAACTAAGCTTTTGGGTGGCAAAGATTAAAGCTAGACAATGCTTCTTAATAGGTGGATACCTTAGGTGGATACCTTACTACCTTACTTCCATCGGTATTAGACGATGACTCAAGTAGTAAAGTGTGTTTTCTTTACCCTCGTCATTGACTTTGGCTAAGAGGGCTCCAAGAGAGACATATAGAGCCGTAGTATAAAGTGTTAGAGATTTCCCTGGGATAGGGGCTACCAAAATAAGATGTGTCATTAAATATTTCTTAACGTCCTCAAAGGCCCGCTGGCATTTCTCTTCCTAAATAAAATTGGCGGCCTTTTTTACTAATGCTGAGAAGGGCTGACACCTACCTGAGAGATTAAAAATAAAGCATCTCAGTTATGCCAACTTTCCTTGGAAGGAACGTAGTTGTTTCAAGGTTTTGGGTGGAGGCATCTCCAAGGTAGCTTTAATCTTATCTGGGTCAATCTCGATTCCCCCATGACGGACAACGAACTCTGCCAAGGTAGCTTTAATCTTATCCGGGTCAATCTCGACTCCCCCATGACGGACAACGAACTCTAGAAATTTCACGGAGGCTACGCCAAAAGCACATATTAGGGGATTCATCTTAAGGTCGTACTGTCGTAATCATTTGAACACGATCCTCAAATCGTGCAAATGGTCTATCTTTTGTTTACTTTTGATGACCAATTCATCCATGTAGCATTCCACTTGGTTGTGAATGAGGTCCTCAAAGATCTTTGTCCTAGCTCATTGATATGTTGCTCTGGCGTTCTTCAACCCAAACAACATCACTTGTAGCATAAGATCTCGATAAATGTTCTAAAGGCTATAAGTGCTACGTATTCTGGAGCCATCTTAATTTGGTGGTACTCCGACAATCCGTCCACGAAGGAGAAAATTTATTGTGTCGAAGAAATATCCACCATTTCTAGTATCGGCAGCGGAAATTCATATTTTGGACACGCTTTGTTTAAATCCCCTATAGTCGGCACATACATGGATTTGTCCATTTTTCTTCTTAACATGTATAATATTAGTTAATCACATGGGGCATTGCTCTTCTCTAACAAAGTTAGCGTCTATTAGTTTCTTCACCTCGGTAATGACTTGCTGCTTTATTTCGGGGCACACATTCTTCTTGGAGCCTTTGTCCACCCCAAGCTTATGAACCGCAACTTTTGCTACAGTCCTGACATTTCATCATACCTCTGTGTGAAGCAATCTTTGAATTATGTTAATAGTTTAATCAATTCTAAAGATTCTTCATTGTTTAGTAGAGAACTTATAAATGTAGGATGGGGTTGTCTTCCGTCCCGATGTTAATTTCCTTTAATTCAACAAAAGTTGATTTAATTTCTTATTCAAATTCTGACATAGTATCTTCTATTAGCTGATCAGTAGAGTCATCCTCTATATCAAGGCAGTCCTCTTCTGATTCCCTAGTAACAACCAGGCAGAATTTTGAATCATCGACTGGTCCTACTGTACCAAATCTGAGACCCTCTTTCGAGTTGGGAGTTCGACTTTTAACATCCCACAATTTTTTTAAAAGTTGTAATTTATCTTTTGACATTTTTTTGAAAATTGCCCTTGTTGAATTAACTTTTGTACATAAGGCAAAAAGTAACCAAAAGACAATTACATTAATTCATTAGGATCCTCAACCAAATTTAAATGATTTTTCAAGATTAGTAGAAGTAGAAGCACGATAAAATTTGATCGGCTGTGAACTAGTGCTACGAACCTCCTTGACCTCTAAATTCTTGACCTTTTGAGGAAGAATCAGAGTAAAGGTCATGGTGTTCACATAGTGGTTTATCCAATTATACATTGTTTCATATTCGCTTTTCTCCACAAAAGTAGATGATGGAAGTTCAAAGTACTGAGGTTTCTTCTATTTTATTATCATTATTTGATCTTCAAAACTTTCTTCATCATCAATGTTGATGGTTGGCCTAGTCCATTCAGCAATTAAGTTGGTTCTTCCTCGTCCACATCCACGGGCCTCGACCTCGGGTGCGCAAACTAAAAGAACCCCTACCAACTCGTTACAAAAGAGTTTTGGAAAATTGCTGAAGCGGTGTTGAATGGTCTTGCCATTGTAATTCTTCTGAATCTTCACTTTTATTCGTCATAACTTCATGAGAGAAGACAGTTTTCTTTAGAGGTGAGTAGTAAGCATCGTCCTCATGAATGCCAACTTCATGAATTAAGAAAGGTTGTAAATCTCCCTTGATGCAATGTTCTTCTCCATCCTTGTACTTGATGCACTAGTGTAGAGACAACGGAACCATGTTGTGTTCGTGAATCCATGGTCGACCTAGTAGAGCGTTGAAAGAAGTCTCAACATCGATGATATGGAATTTAGCTATTGTTACTAGTTCTCAAACTTTCATAAGCAGTGTAATTGATCCAAGGGCTCTTTCTCCCTTTTGGTTGAATCCTCTTAGCATCATTTTATCGGTCGTAAGTTCCTGAGCTTCAATGTCCAAGTAGGCCAATGTCCGTAGACTCATCAAGTTGAGAGATGCTTAAGGATCTACTGGAACTCTGGATAACACAAATCTGCCAATGTTAACGGAGATATTGAGTGGACGATTATGGTCGGCGGTACCGAGCAACGAGTTTTCATCTGTAAAAGTTATCACAAACTGTTCTTTCAACAAGCAAACTTCATCTGAGGATGTGTTGGCCAACTAGGCTAGGCAAATTTCTGAGTCAAGCAAAGCTGTAACCAGAGACACTCTCATCTCCTTTGATAGGTTTATAAGCGTCATAGATGCTTAATTTGGCTGGCAACTTTCTAAGATAAGCCAGCACATTGTAATCCACTTTGTATGATCCTCCAATTTTTCCTTCGTTGCGTGTTTCTTCCACTGGCAGTGGTGGAGGTAGCTATTCTCGAGTTACTATCTGCTTTCCTTTATCTATCGGAGTTGTTCTCAGGTGTAATATTTTTCCACTCCTTAAGTTTACTTCTGTAATTTCTTCTTCTTGAGACACCATTGTCGAATCTTCTGGTGTTTCTTCTTTGTTGGAAAGACTAAGTTAATGGCAAGTGGGGCACCGTGGCACTCGAGGATTGGTTCCTTGCTCTCAGTGCTATTGTAAGTGGTGTTGTCGATGTCTTCCTCGGCCTTCTTAGCAAGTTCACCGGACTCAAGCATGATTTGAGGATTGTTATGGGAATCAACATCGAAGCTAGAATGGTCACAGTCGATTAAGTTATCACTAGAGATAGTTGAAATGTAGCCAAAAACATAATCATTATTATCGTAAGACCCCGGAGGGACAAAAAGATAATCATACCCAAAATTCAAGACAACTAATCTAACAGAGGCAGCCTCTATCCTACCCCACGTACTATCAGTCTTCATGGTGATATTCTTCTTCTTCTTCTTCTTTAAGGTTGACGGTTCTTTTGGTGAAATCTTGATCTCTGGCTTGGCAGGATGAAAACTCTGGACGGAAGCTTGTCTTGAATCAAACTAGATTTGGTTTAATACCTTCTTGAGCTTGTTTCAGGTTGTATTCCATCCATCTTTTACAGTATACGGGTCAATCGGAGAGATTGGCTCAGTCGAAATCATATTTATGAAACCTTTATCAGGTTCTTTTAAATATTCTTTTGGGACCGTTATATTCCCTTCCTTATGATTTTTATCGAGCTAATCCTTGAAGACAAAACATTCCTCTATGGTGTGTCCAAGCAATCTGTGATATGGATAATAGTTTCGTTGATCCCTCTTATCGAACGCTTTGGGTTTCTTCGGATCTGGTAGTTTGAACTCAGGCTTCTTCATCAAATTCTGAACATTTTTGGTACGGCTTTATCTTTGAAGGAATATACCACTTTCCTATGTTCCACAATGGAAATTTTCTTGTTCTCTGTTCGGTATGATCCTCCCAGAGGGGATTGCTGACTAGACCGGGCATACTTTTGTGTCTATTGTTGAGCATGCTGTGATGATGACTGAAGAGAATTTTCTGCATGTATCTTCATTGGTTGTTTTTCTTTATCGACCATTGCTACTATTCCAGACTTCTTTTAGAATATTATGGTCTTCTTGCACCTCTCGGACATATGATAAGAATCCATATGTTTGACTTCTTCTTAAAGATTGCTAGCTTTGCTGAGTAGCTTCTCGACGGATTTAAAGGTGAGTCCCTTGAGCATGAAATCTACTTGCCCATGGATAGCCCATGGAAGCATTTGAGTAGGATCTCAATCACATGATATTTATGTAGCTGAGGTTCACACTTCATACTAAGTTTTCTCCACCTTAAAATATAATCTACAAAAGTCTCGCTAGGCTTCTGCTTCTCTACAAGGAGATCTCCAATAGACACATGATGTTGCACTCCGACAAATCTTTTTACAAATAGTTGTTCTAACTTGGAGAACGTCTCGAATGATCCATTGGGTAATTCGACATACCAATCAAAAGAAATCCCTAACAGGTTGTTGATAAATTTTCTAAAGAGTAAATCTTTATTTCCTCCTGTATTACAACAACTGGCTTGAAAATTTATTATGTGTTGCCTGGGGTTTCCGGTCCCATCAAATATCTTAAATTTTGGTGACACAAAACCCTTAGGGTAGGGTACAACATCAAACTCCTCCGGGTAAGGTATTCCCTTCAAAATCAATGCACCACCATTAGATTGGGTTAAGGCTTCCCGAACTTGTTCGACCATTTGCTTAAATTTCTTTTGTGGTATAGCGGTTGATGAAGACTATTTCTTTTGTTGATCATCTCTATTTGATGAGGCGACTTCTCTCCTTTCATTTGTAATGTGTATAATCTCCGGTTGATTGACTTCTAGAGAGGCTAACTGTGGTGGTTGAGACTATCCCTAAACTATAGCCATTGTAGTCATGGCAGCAACCATCTCTTCCAATCTTTTCTTCATTTAGCTGATTTGCTCGTCCCTTATGAAAATAGCCCTCCGCAGCTTGTCTACGGTGTTCTCTTCGACGAAAGGTTGAGTGTCACGTGCACATGCAACGGATCTTGTCTCGATGACATGGACATCCATGAAATTTTTCTCGAGGTAATCATTGTAGTCAAAATCTTCATCATCATCTTTGATGGAAACTCGATGTTCCCGGCCCAACTCGAAAATCTCAACCCTGAGCTTTCCGACCTTTCATCAATTATTGATTCTTGTAATATCTTAAGATCTGGAGGACTTTGCTGAACATCCTCTACTTGCTCATCCATCTTGCTAGCAATTATTGCGACCATGTTTGATACTTCGAACCCTTGCTTCATTTCATGATCCTACTCTGTGAGTTTGTTGGACCATATCGGTATGGCGACCTTGGGTACCCATACCCTTTCTTTGACAGTGATGTCTTAAAAAGGAGTGTCTCGGTAGGGACATTGTCACGTCGAAGAGAAGTATGTTTTCCATGGTGCAGACTAGATACGGTATTAGGTGACATCTTCGTCTTCTTCTTTGGGACTTTAAGAACATCCTTGAGGTTGGTAGTCAGTAGAATTCTCAGACCCAGACGCGACTTAACTGGTCGACGGCCCGTGAGTCTAGTGACTGTAGAATCAGTAGTATCAGTGGTGGTATCAACTCTACTCCTCAAATGGAACCGAACCAGAATGCGGTAGGAAATGCTTTAGTTGATTTTGAGCTTTCCTGGCAGATTTAACGTCTTTTAAAATTTCCTTCTTCATGCGAGGGGATACTGCTCACCACACTCGTTTGAGTAACTCGCCAACAGAACAACCTTCTTTGGCAGCTAGCTTCTGAAACAGTGAACTAACTTGGGTGATAGGAGCAGGCTTCTTCCTCTCCCCACCATGTCTATGACGTGATGGTAAAGTAGTGGCAATCTTTTGGATACTTTCTTACCCATTTGTATCCATTAAGTGATGGAACCTACTACCTTATAGAAGTGGATAGGTCTCTGGTAATCCTGACTCCTCCTGATGAGGAGCATCATCAATAGATACTTCCTCAGAAATATGAGCTTCAGTAGCCTCCAAACCTTCTGGCTGTGGTTTCTCCTTTGGGTTTGGGTTAACGGTATAGTCCTCAAACTTGATTCGATTTTGAATACTGACGGCAGGACAACCTATTCCTCAGTCAAGTCTTCAATGATCATAACCTCTTTTCCCTTAGCAAAAGCAGGAACAACATGCTTGGTAGGTGTCGTGGTGGTAGTAGTCTTAACCTTCTTATAATAAGGGAAATCCAGAGGGCAATTCAGGTTAAACTCGCCAGATGGTTCTTGAACCTATGGAGTGAAGACCTTCATTATGACGAACGGGGCTTTCCCAATAACGACCTCGAGATCTTCAAATCTGACTCCAAACTTGATGATGGGAGCGTTGCTGGCATCACGGCTCATCGGCAGGTTGAAGAAGAAAGTGAGCATTGGAAACGCCATTGCAGTAGCTTCAAAAAAAGAAAGCTCTGAGGGTAGCTATTCAGTCAATACCTCGTAATCTTAGTGCGAGCACTTAAAATTAACAGAGGTCGATCTGTAGGCTGGTTAAGTTTTTATTTAATTTGTGGAAATTTTAAAATTTAGTAAAAATAGTTTGAAAGTAGAAAGATTTAATAAATATAAGGAGAATTAAAGAGCACGTGCAACAAGACACAATCTGATTTAATTTGCAAAATAGCAAATCAAACTCGAAAGGGAAAAAAGTGCAGTTTAGGACCCAGTGCATGACCAACTTAACAACGCACAATACCCAAGTGGAACTAGTCCACCAACAAACCTATTGGGGGTCTGACCCCACAGAAAGATTAAAAAGTCCTTAATGGCCTCCTGAATCTCTCCGTTCAAAGGTGGTTGAATAGACGGTCCTAAAATTCAAGAGAGTTGACCGTACTTTCCTAAGAAAGAAATGGGTAAAACATACCAATGAAAGAAGGGTAATTTGGTTCATGAGGGAAATGGACACATTACTAATATGTGAAAATAATATTTCTTGATTTAAATGGAAAGAGAAGCTAGTCCCCAGTGAAGTTGCCATGAGCTATCAGCACTATTTTTAGTTGGAGGAGTTGCCCATTAGAAGTTGTCGGTCAACGGAATCGAAATCCCGCTGCCCACTTTGGAAACACGTTTAATTTATATATATATATATATAAGTTTTAGAAAAATATGAAATCAGACTGACCCCATATCTTTTATAGTTTAAATGAAAGAGCATTATACCTCAAACTCTATATCTATCCCAAAGGATAAACACAAGACTTGAGGATGAGGCTCGATCAAATAAAGTAAGAAATATATGACATTTGTTTGGTCTACGAAACCATTTTATTTGCCAAGAAGTTCCTCTATTTAATATAATGAATTAAATAGGGCTTATGTTAAGTTGCGTTCGGACATGCTTCCTATAAGAAAAAGCTTCCTGTAAGGGCAAGCCCCTATAGTTAATTTCATCTTAGATAATCAAAGTCACCTAAAAAAACTATCGATAAAAATCAGGAAATGTTATCTTCAAAGAGGTAAAAAATATAGGACTTTTCAATGAAATCAGACAAAGAGGTGTCAAAGGAGAATGGTTCGAGTTTGGAACATTTTGTTGTAGAATCCAAAGGAGGAAGAACTAGGGGATGTCATAGATTCAGAGGAGAAGCTCGGTGACTTCTCAGTCTATCCTATTGTTAGGTTTCAATTTTGAGTAGGAATTATTTAAATGTTTCATCCTATACATTTTATTAGTTAGGGCTACATTTTAGGGCTTACATTTGTGTGAAACGATCACACAAATAGCCTGGATGATGTGAGGATTTAGGTCGTGACAAACGATAACCTCAGAATTCTAAGACGAGTTAAGGTTTCTAATGTATAGTGGAGCTACACAAAGGCCTATGGATAGGGTGAGAATTTATGTTGCATAAGCAAACAACCTCGCAATTCTATAGCTTGGTTATTTAATTCTAATGAAAGATATGCTATTGTAGATTTTCTTGATGTTGGAGATGGTCGTGTTGCCCACAATGCTAGCTCCAAGCTCCTCGTCATGATGATTTTAAGTTTTCTAGTGTTTCAGGTCATGATGTCAAATTAGATGTCCCTATGGTTATGGTTCTTTAAATGTTATGGGGCAAGTTAAAGTTAATTAGAGCGACACTGGTTAGGATCCTACGGTTCCTTCGTTCCGGTACCACTATTTTTTATTGGATTCATTTAGTCTAAATGAATTTATTAAACTCAATTTAATGAATTCTATACTTTCATTTAGACTGTGGGAAGTCTCATTACCAACTGTAGGTTACCTCTTCCGAAGGATTCCAGATCATCCGATAGAGACACCTTAATTTAGTTGCACTTATTGTTTTGTGATGTTTGTGATTAAATTTTGAGTTGTTTTCTATTTTGAATGTTGTGGCGGTG